TGTGGGGGGGGGAGAGAGAGAACAAACAAACAAACAAACAAAAAAACGGCAAAATCAGTGGTATCTTGTCTGCATTGAAATATGAAAGATCAGGTGAGCAGAAATCTAAGAAAGCAGTAACTGTTAATGTTATATTATATTTTCTCAGGTCACAGTGTTAAGTTCCAACAAGTATTGGGTATTTGGCGACTACCGGTGTAATGCTTCTAATGATTACGGCAGGGACTCGCATGAAATCAGGCTCAATGAAGCCAGTGAGTATATGCTTAAGCTTTCAGTGAGGTGATAGATCGAGTGCAATTTGAACTTTGCTTGTAGGTGTGTTGGAGGTTTGGAGCAAGTGTCCTGAAACTAGATTTCATTACATTTTTCTGCTTTTACCATGTGATGGATCCTGCGTACATTTGTCAGCATTCTTGCTTCTTAAATTTGAATTTAGAGTAAGAAAGTTTTTAAGATTACATGATTGGATGGTTTGAAGTATTTACAGCCATTATTAGAATCCAAAAATATAGAGCTGTTAATGTTTGTTCTTGATGTTGTAAATATGGTTGACTGCTGCTTAGTTTAAAAGAAAAAAAAAAAAAAGATTGTCTGAACGGTTGCATCCTCATACTGTTGACCAATTTCTTTTAATAAAGAACAGAAAAACTGATTGTTGTAAGAGTGAACTAAATTTTAATCTCTTCCAACCTCAGCTGTCCCTGGTCCACCTGCGTCCATTGATGTACTGGGCAGTACCCCGACTACAGTCCAACTGTCCGTGTCCACCCCTTTGAACCAAGGAGGCCCCCCTGTCAGCGGATACTTTATTGTATTTGGCACCAGTGACGCAGGAGATGAAAAGACAAGCAACTTTAACCTAGGTTGTAGTAGTTCACGCTTTAGAAGTACAGTATTTGTGTAGCATAATTGGTATTTTGGGCAATTTTGCTTGCCATTTTGTTGATGATGAGGGAAAAATGGGCCACCTGAACATTGTAGGTGCCCAGATGTGGTCAGGGTGGCCCTGGTCGTCTCAGAGATTGTTTTTTAAGCTCTGTCTCTTGTCACCTCTGTAACATGTTGCTCTTAGTATTTAAAGGTTGAAGGAAAGGAAAGAAAATGACTTTGAGGCTATATCCTTGTGATGTTCATCTGAAATTTTCTGAACTAATACCTTTTTTACTGACATTTTTTAAAAATTACATCACTCAAAGGCATTTCCTTGACAAATTTTGTGTGGTATTTTCTATTCAGGAGATGAAATAGTGATAAGGGACCTGAGACCTGATACAGCTTACAACATCAGGGTAATGGCCGTCAATGAAGTAGGACAGGGTGATCCAAAAGAGATAGAATCCCGAACATTGGAAGTCAGTAAGTGGCCTAGATAACAAATGTAGAGACAAACCTTTTTTTTTTCTTTCTTTTTTTTTTTTTTCATTATAGGTTTGTAGTATAAGTATCCTAATACTTTTTAAAATATTTTAAATTACAAGGTTGAGGACAAATAGAAATTTTTTCTTTTTTTTCTAAATGATAATTCTGCCGTCAACAGTTTTTTTTTCCAGGATAAAATGTCTTTGAACTGGTTTAATCTCACTAAACTATGGAAATTTTACGATGGAATCTTCACTTGCCAATTTTTATTTCCAGGTGTCCCTGAACCAGTCTCCATCACCTCTCCCAAGAACAGTCCAGATTCTGACAAATACACAGTGGCCTGGGACAGGCCTCAGAACGGGGGATCAGTGATCGAAAGTTACACCATCAAGTACAGGACGGTGAGTCATTTGAGGTTCACAAATAAGTTACGACAGTAAGTACAGGGAAGTTAGTCATTTGAGGATCACAGATACTAAGTTACACTATCAAATAAAGGGTGGTGAGTCCTTTGAGGATCAGACATCATAGATGAAAATGGAGAAGAAAGTGAGTTCTGTCAGGACAGATAAGTTATGATGTGAAATGATAGTCAAAAGAGATTCAGTACACACACAAACAGAGGTTTTTTATTTTATCTTTTTAGTATGTGTTAAAGTATTTTTATGTGAATATTGTTTGATGGAAAAGCACTGCAATGGCTGTGGATTTTAAAATTGCAAAGCAAATAACCCTAATTTTATTGGCCAATATGTAGCTGCACTTGGAAAGCTAGCTCACTTGGTAGATTTTAAAGGGAAATTTGTTAAAGTGACAGAGAGCCAAATGTCTGTCTATCTGAAGACATATCTGTGAAAATGCTTGTGAAAAATCAATATGTTTCCCTGGTAGAGGGTAGCATATGAGCAGGTTTGTAAAAAAGAATAGCTTTGCTTCATTTAACATTGTCTCTTTATCTTCAGGTTGAAATGGAGGAAGGTGCAGGAGATGTCCCAAATGTCAAGCCAGACTCTGAGGGAGAATGGAAGACGGTAGAGGTTCTGAGGCCTGAACGAAGAGTGATGACCCTTACTCAGCTTAACCCTGACTCTTGGTACGAGGTTCAAGTGTTGGCCAATAACAACAAGGGGGCTTCTGAAGGACAGTCAGCATTTTTCAAGACCATGAAAGGTGAGTTTATCATGGTGACAACTTTTTTTTTTTTTTTTTTTTTTTTTTTTTTTTGAAACGATTATGAAAACAAGGCATTGCACTTAGGTTATTTATTTGTATGATTTTGTGCAGTTTTAAGTTTTTCAGTTGAAAAAGACATTTTGTTGTTGTTGTGTCAGGCTCCTTCTAGTTGATATATATGTTCAGAGCAATTATCATTGAGATGAGTTTGAAACAATTACTGCAAAAAAGAAAACGTATTTGTTAGTGTTTGCACCTTTACTACGCATTAAGTAAATTGCATTGTGAATAACATGCAAATATTGATGTCCAAGTATCTTTTATAAAGTTTTTATTTTTCGTTAAAGACATTTTATAGGCCAGTGTGCATAGGTTGTATATAGTTTTAATACTTAAAGAGTCAACAGATAATTTAGACTTTTATGTGGCTATTGTTTCATCTGACTGCTGGCAAATTGATTATAGTTATTGGAAATTGCTCCACAATTTATTTAAAATTCACATTAGATTTATTTTAAATTTAATTTATGACAACACTGCGTTTATTGAATTCTTTTCACTCGCCTGTAGGTGACGTAGAATCTCCTTGAGACACCAACCTTGAAAAATAATTATATGATACATCTTTGTTGAAATGATTAAGCCAAAACTTAGATTTTCCTTTTAATATGTTGCATTTAAATCCTATCTTAGTAGCAACTGTTTGAAAATAGAATACAGCAGACTAAATTAAAGTCCTTTTTAAATGCATTTTTGACTTGTGTATATTATAGGCATGTAAAGTGAATTTTGATATTAATACTATTTATCATATATTCAAGGACTTTATTTTTTGTATTTATTTGACTAACATCTCTGCTTGATATGACAGTCTAGATGATGTAAATATTTGTTATTATAATGCATCTTGTTGCAGATGGATGTTTTGATCCAAAACTCTACAGCAATACTTTGATTTGAATTTTTTCCCACTTATTTATTTTTAAAAGAAAAAAAAACAAAAGATGGTTTTATGTGGTCTCTTCATAACACATTTTAACATTGCAGCACAGCTGTTAATTTTTGTAGCATTTTGTGTTCATTTTTCCCCCAGGCAGTTTCTGGAGTTTTTGCCCTGTTTTCGTTTTGTTTTCACCAAGTTTTGTGTTTTCCCTTCTCAGCCCTACCCCTTCTTCTTTACATTGGAATCTAACAAAAAAAAAAAAAAAAAAGATTTTGAACATTCTCAAACAATCCTTTTCTGTATAAGAAGTACAGAAAGTATGAAAAGCATTAGATACTATGATGAAGCAAAAATTTTCTTATAAATATTTACATAATTTTGTACACTGCAAGCTGTTGTAGTATTAGATCATGTACTATGTCATACCTGTTTATCTACAGGTGAGATTGACTTGAAATACCTCCCTTTAAGATATTTTACAGGTTGACATAGCTTGTTGATACTTCAAGGACTATAGATGAAATGATATATTAAATCAAAGGTGGTCTTACTGTTTGTGTACAAAACTGGTAGACATTCTTGCCTTTTGTTGTTAGTTAAGTAAGGAATTCAACTGTTGTATGGGCCGTAGTGAAGGTTGTTCAGTTGAACAGTCCTTGTTTTCAACAAATTTTTGTGTCCTGTGTCTTATTAGTCTACCAAATATCCTGTTTTCATGTGATCAGTTTTGTGTTTACCCCTCAGAGTTGTAAGTTTGCTTTTTCGTGATTGTACTGGTGCAAATGTATTTTGGATTATCTACATATGGGCGAGGAAATCCTGTTACTGTCCTTTATGTGAATATTTAACAGAACATCCAGTTAACTTGGAATATGGGCTGCTTTGTGTTGTCTTAAATTTTGTGAAACTTTATAGTAGACGCCGATCTTGTTTTTACTTACAATTAATTACAAGTGTTGATGAGCATAACAGTTTTGTTAAAAATTACAATATTTTTAAGTGTTGTCAGTTATACTAACAGCAGAGCTAACAGTGATCACATGGCAATATATTCAAGTCCCCTCCACCATTGAAACTTTGAGTGACTACAATTTATTTTAATGTATGGGAAATAAAGGTCTTTGTTTATTAGTTAATACGTGAACATATATATATATTTTTTTTTGAATGGTGTTAAACTGGGCATTACACGTCCAGATATTTTCACCTCTGACAGTTGTAATGTATATCAGATTTATATCAAACTATTTATAGAAAAAATTGTTCTGGAATTTTTGTTTTCTATCTGCTGATCACTGTTGGTATTCATGTGGCAGGTGTAAAGGTGAAGAGATGGAGGAGTAACTTTAGAAAATCAAGGTGCTTCTTAGTCGATATATTAATATAGCAGCTCATGGTCACCAACTGAAATATTCCTTTCACTTTTGTGTAATTGATTACCTTTAACTTGCAAGGTGCCCTTTGTTTGGGGAGGGGGTAAATTTTCAGTTAATGGTTAGGTAGATTTAGTTATTATAATTAAGCAGTAATGTTGGATAGGATTTTTTTTTCCGTCTAATTGCAAGTACCTAACTGTTTTAAGATTTTGAAAAAAAAAAAGTTATTTTCATGATTTATAGACCTACTGACATAGCCTTCTCAATCATGTATGATATGGTTTTTTGGCAAGATATTTTAAGTGCACACTTCATTCCAAGTTGCAGGGTTGGTGAAAGAAAGAGAAAAAAGATAAGAAGCACTTTGAAATTACTTTCCTACCTTGACGTTCATTGTTTCAAGTAACACACTTTGATTTATCTAATTACTACTAAAAAATTCATTTGCTGTGAAATGATTTTGAACAATCTGAAGTGATCCTTTTTCTATGCAAGAGGCAGAAATTTTCGAAAAACCGCACTCGTGATGTGATTTAATGCAGTTTGCTCGTGATTCATGCACATTCATACCTAGGTAAGTTTAATTCCAGTATTTATTTATTTATTTTATCATGTGCACCGTCTCTTTTCTTATTGTCAGTTTCGACTATTGTTCCACTTTTGAATGAGGGTATGCTTAGTCTAGTATTCCAGTCTCAGTTGCATGAGATCTCAAAATGAATGCATCTGATTGGCATGTCGTCAAAGCAGAAAAATATGTAACAGGCAGGCACATTTTTTGACTTGTTAAAAGCCTCATTCTCTTTATGGTTAGTTCCTTTAAAAAAAGGGGAAGGAGGAATAATGGTGGGTCGTTGATAGGCAAAAAACTGCCATTGATTGACATTTAAATTTTTCTTTTAATGTCGACTGTTTCAAAAGAAAAAAAGAAAAGAAAAAAAAAAATGATGCAACATTTTTGTTTGCCCAGTAGCAGATTTTGAAGAAGACTAAAAAGTGGGCATTGCTTCACATTTAGATTAAGATTTCTGATTTCAAGAAGTTATTTCTGCTTGTTGAAAATTTAAGTAATTGTGTAGTGCCTCAAACCTGTTCTGCTTTGACAATTCATCTGAGAAAAATGTTCTAAATCTCTAAAATGACTCTGTTGCATGAACACTCACTTCTTAGTCAAGGTAGGAAAGTTGGTTACTACTATGGGATGGTTGCTATGGATGCGAACTTCAATAACGTTATTTCATTATTAGATTGTAATCATTTTTATCACTCTATTGCTGTGCTGTTTATGAAAAGAAATGCTGCATGGTGCACAACAGAAATTGCCTCAAATGAAAATGCTTTACAACACTTGTCAGTTAAAACAGTGATAGAAATAGTAGCATTTGCCACTGGGGTGGAAAAGCCAACCAGCTGATGTGAAAATGGGAAGTTTTTGGAGATACCCATTTTGTAGTGGGTTCCTTTTTATAAAGAACCGTAATAGTCATTATCCCATAGTGGGAAACCTACATTCCCAATAGTGTTTGGCACATTATCTTAGACAATATTTGTTAGATGTCATTCCCCCTTGGTTAAAAAAGTTTTGGTATTGGGGATACTTTTGTAGACCAAGTTATCAGATTTATTTTTCTTATGTGTTTAACTGGAATAGATATAAAGGGAAAATGTCAAGTTACTGGAAGTCAAGTGTAGTTTGTTGAAGTATTGAATGTATGTTTCACAAACAGTATGTTTTTTTTTCATTCAGTCCTTTTTTGTTTTTTTTTCTTTTTGTACACTTTCTAAAAAGTCTTAAATTACAGTATGTTTTTATTATAAACCACTCAGTTCTAAACTTCCAAGTTTTCAAGCGGTCTTCTCTGGCTGTGACACATACAGATATGTTAATAAGAACTTGGGCATAAAATAGCACATGATTCACCAGGATCTACATATCACAATTCCATTGTCAGCCAACATTTCCCTCTGATGTGGTTTGTTTTGGTAAATTTGTTTAGAAATTCACCAATAAATTTGGCAAATGAAACTGGGAGATGGATCATCAGTTTAGCAGGACTTTGTGAACTCACTGTCAGCTCTTCCAGTGAACCTCAGCTTGTGCATGTCCACAGAGAACAGTTCAAACAGGACCACTTTAGACTGGAATTCATGCCCACAAGTGCCATCTAGTGGCCATATTTCGCAAACAAAATTGTAACAGCAGTTGCAAGCTAACTATCACTTCATGAAAACCAACCCAAGATTTCAAAGAGTCTTCATATATATATGGACATCTCAAAACTGATCTGGTTATATAAAGATGTACAAGTCTGTCCAGTTTCTAGTCTGAAGTAGATCTTGTCCATACGGAACTTTCTGTAATGAGTTTTCAATACCTTACTAAAACTCACTGGGTATGAAAGTATTTGTATCTTGCATGAACGTTTTACTACCTACACAAAATTGTAGCCTTGACATTAACATCAACGCTAGACTGTAGTTTATATACATATGTGCAAACTGACGTGTTGTCTTTATTATAGATTTTTTTTCTGCACCATCATATACATTCACCTAAAGCATTTTGGAATGTTTAATCCTGCTTTGTGGCCACTGGCACTCATAGTAGCTTGTGAAAAATGAAGCCCTTGTCTTGAGTTTGAAAGGAAATGGCTCCTAAATAGAGCTAGGAAAGTAAT